TTCTTTTACAATTGCATTTATTTGTGGAACACTTCTTTTTGCAATGACAGCATGTATAGCCTTGCCCTCCACTTTTCGAATTAGCTGCAGCTGCTTCTCTCAGTGATATTTCTTGAGAAGAAATCTCATCTATGGAAAGTAACTTTTCTTTACAAATTACGAACTGATTACGTTATTACGTGATTATGAACTGATCTGTTAATGGTGTCTTTTATTCAGATATCGCCGATGCCTTACCGACGACCCCTCTCATCCTCCGCCACTCGGCCTGACAAACCGATCCTCATCTCATGGGATCAAAAGAACAAAAATGCCATTCAGTGACAAAGTTGTTTTCACCAAACTGTTGTCGGGAAAAGAGGTATGACCTTGTCCTACCTCTGGCTATCCACAAAGGATTTGATGACAGACTGTCGCTTCTCTGTCAACATCGGCTTCTTGGGTGTCATTTCGACCTCCACCAAAGCTTATCTGTGCTTGTCAACATAAACCAGCAATTGTTTGAATGCATAATAATATAACCAAATATTCGGCCTTTCACCGACGTATTTTGTATGTGTCGACATTCACCAGAGAGTATCGACATTCACTAATTTCGGTCTTTCACAGTAACATATATATGTAGATGCGAATTGGATGTTGTTTGAATATTTTACATAGTGTTGTGACAAAACAAGTCTTACACATTGCTATCTGATCTGGTTCATCTGTCTTTTAATATTATTATTCAAGGTTTGTGTTTTTCTAAATTCTTAAATTATAATGGCACAGAAACAAATGAGGTTTAATGTCCAATGGCTGGATCCAGCTATTCATCTAGAATTCGATTCCTGGCTAGGAACTGTAAAAGATGATGATACAAAAGCATTTTGCTGCATTTGTTGTAAAGTTTTCTCATTAAGTTAAGTAATATGGGAAAGCATGCATTAGTATCACATGCAAATAGTTCTAGTCATGTTGAAATAAAAAGATTGAAGTCAAAACAAATTTCACTGATAAGGTTTTTAACCTCCAACAAATTTAAACTCTTCTAATAGTCAACAAAATGTGTGTGAAACGGCTTCTATTGTGGAAAATAGATCTCAGATCACTAATGAACAGTCTGTCACCAAATCAACATTTCTTAGCAGCACATTGACACCTTTTGTGATAAAAGATGATGTAATAAAAGAAGAGATAACTTGGGCATTGGCAGTTGTAAAGAAAAAGATGTCACTCAATTCATGCTCTGATATTAAAAACATTTTCAAAAAAATGTTTCCTGACAATGCTATAGTCACACAATTTCAATTGGGTCTAGATAAAGCTTCCTTTATAATAAATTATGGCCTAGCCCATTATTTCAGAGAAAAATTGATTGATCCTGTTACAAGTTGCGGTAATATTACTATCTCCTTTGATGAATCACTAAATAAAGTTGCTTAAAGAACTCAACTCAAATGGATCTTGTGATAAAATACTGGGACAAGAGTAAAGATATGGATATGACGAAATATTTAAATATTGTCTTTCTGGATCACAGTACAGCAAATGATCTTCTCTCTGCATTTCTCAATGGGCTTTCAGACATTCATCTTGATCTAGCAAAAATTCTTCATATCTGTATGAATGGACCAAATGTAAACATAAGTTTTCTGAATAAATTAGAAGATCACATGGAGACACAGAACGTTGGTAAATCATTTGTGAGAATGGGAACACGTGGTTTACATGTGTGAGATTAGCTGGGGGTACAACCTAGAGCACCACTTAATCTGCTCAGAATCATAAGATTCGATCTCTAAATTTTTAAGGAGGGCTTTTTATAATGTTAAAAAGATCTAGATGGTAAGTTCTAGATCACGTCAGGATCCTAGATACCAGTTAATCAAATTTATTACACGCGGATTAACACGTGTTTACGAATCAATATGGAGAGGATGAAATCTTTTGATTCAGACATAATGAGACATTTCTTTAACATAAAAAAAATCAATTATTTAATAAAACAAAGGAAAAATATACAAAGTGGACCTTCAATATATGATTATGGTATTGCAGAGAGAGATCACATTTTGAGTTAAAAACATACTACCTCACTATATATTCTCTGTATTCGGATCGATGTGAATGTTCGTTATTTCTCTATTTCTTCTCTTCTTTTCGTTCTTGTCCCTTATTAATTCTTAGGCGGTACTTCAATAAACATTTCCGTTAACTTGAGAACTTAGAAATAAACTGTATGAACTTCGGGAGTTAGTTATGGGCGTTTGCCGTGAGGAGCGGGTATGGAATACGTCCTTCTCTTCTGGAATTTCGTGGTATACTTCTCGAATAATACTCAAGAATCCACTTTTTTGATGATTTTCTCCAATGAGAAAATTGTATTCCTCCCACGTGTTTAGGAAGAGTGGGGGTTTACAGAGGGGTAACTGGACTGTATGTGACTTTTTACCAGTTTCCTTGGTTTTGACTTAAAATTTTTCTATTAAAATCAGAAATATTATATCTAACATTTATGGATTTGACATCAATTTCCAATTAATAAAGGGGGGTGTTCAAAATCTCACACATGTAGTCCATGGTGCTATAAAAGCTGGTTTTAAAGTAGTAGATTGGAATTTGTTACCACTACTACGGAATTTGTGCTATTTGCTAAAAGACGCACTCACTTGGCATGCTGAATACATTGCTATAAGTAGAAGCAGATTATTTCCCAAAAAGTTTGATTCAATAAGGTAGGAGAATGGAGAGTGCTTAGAATGTGCAGCAGAAGTTATTGAATCTGTGAAGACATACATAAACAACAGTACAAAGTTGAAAGACAGCAAGGTGGCTACATTCTTGAGACAAGCACTCAATGATCCCTTTATTAAAGTTAAACTTTTATTTTTTCGGTCAATATGTACATAAAGTGAGAGCTTTCTCACCCGATTTCAGAACAACAAACCTCTTTCACCCTATCTTAATAAAGCAGTTGTTCAATTACTAATGAACCCGATGAGAAAGTTTGTGAAAAATTACAGGGTCATCGACAAGCAGTTTCTAAAAATAGGTTTAAATGCTAATGAAAACTTGGTACGTCTGAAGAATTTGGGTATTGGTTTTGGAGCAAAAAGGTTTTAAAAGAATTGAAAGTAAGTGACAAAGATATTCTGTGTTTTTTAAGAGATTGTTGAAATGTGCTGAAAGTGATGACACAAAAGATTATTGAGAAGGATACGAATGTGTGAAGACTTTGAGCAGCTTAGACCCAGAAATTATTAAAATGCAATCAAATGTTGGAAAATTGTATTTCAATGTTTTACTGGAGGTTCTACATGATACAAACAAGATTGATGAGAAATGTGCTGTCAAAGCAAAATAACAGTATGATATACTCTGCAATAAAGTATCCATAAAACCCTATTCTACAAAGTTTGTGGACTTCATATCTGAAAGGAGTGATGATTACGGTCTGGACAAATTTTATTGTGAAATTATGAAAGATGATAGGCAACTGCAAGATCTATGGTCTATTATCAAAATTTCTGTTTCTTTCTCATATGGGAATGTAAATGTTGAGAGTAGTTTCTCAGTTAACAAATCACTATTGAGTGAAAATCTTAAGGAAGAGAGTTTAGTTGCTCAACATTTAGTTTATGATGGGATCCATTTTGCATGTGGTATTGATCAAATAAATATAGACCAGAAAATATTAACAGTCAGAAGATCTAGACAGCAAAATATTGCATCTCTGCAACAGAAAAAAGATATACAGAAGCAGCAGGCATTGAGAGCGGAAGAAAAAAGAAAACTTACACAACAACTTAAGGATTTAAAACAACACAAGAAAATGTTAAGAAAAGATCACGAAAAGGAAGAAAAAGACATTGAAATGAAAATAAATACAATTGAGGAGAAAAAGCTAAAACTACATTAATATAATAGTTCTTGTGTTTTGTGTATTGTAATTAATTTTTTATTTTCTAATTATCTGTATTTTGAAAAAAGGGAATCAATACTAAAAGTTTCTCTGTATTTTGATTGTCCATTTTGTAAAAAATAAAAAGATTTTACAATAAATTAGATGCATTTGTTAGAGAAGCTATAGTATAAACTTACACTTATCTCTCATTATATACAATCTATTTTTACACAATTTTGAAATAATGTGGTTGACAAAAGAAAACCAATTATTTTTTTACATGATTGATTTTTTTATGAGGGAAAAAATGCTTTATTTGAAAATTTTTAAATTTAACTTTTTATTAAAATTATGTTGCTGTTTAAAAAAGTTATTCTTTTTGTTGAAAGATTGGTTTTAAAATTATGTGTTTCTAAGTCAAGAGTTTATTTTAAGCACAGTACAGTACTATTTGTATATCAAAGAATACTGTTTGTTGATTTTATGCTATCTTGTATTTACTACATTTACATACAAATAATAATGATAAATGATGATAAAATAAAAAGCTCGTGTTTCGTTTGTAAATTGCTTATTTTTTCATTGTATTGAAGTTGTGGATTCTATCAAACATTTTTCTACAGGATATGTGTACTGTATTTGTTTAATGAAGTAGTCTTTGAAACATATCAACTGTGTGAAAAGAAGGATAGATGTACTCAATGTTCACAGTAAATAAAATGCTATTTTATTATGTTGATATTCCACACCATAAGAAATGTGAGGGTCAGGGAATTTGGACAAAGTTGGTCAGGGAAAATCAGGGAATTCAAAACAAAACTTTGAATAGGAACCCTGCAACTACTGTATTACAATGCTATCTCTTGCCTTATATACTGTAATTTACAGTTTATATCTTTATTATTTATAATAAATATGGTAATTGCTTTTGATTTCAAAATATAAATTAATAGTGATCTTATGATATTTGATAGTTGGCTAAATTTATAATAAGTATTTAATTTAAATAATTTTACCAGTTTCCTTGGTTTTGACTTAAAATTTTTCTATTAAAATCAGAAATATTATATCTAACATTTATNAAAAAAAACTGATTACACTTTGATTTATACAGCATCCACAAGATTTGTGAAATGTGATAAATGCCAGCATTTTTTTGTTGTGTTATCGGATGTTGATTCTAAAAAATCTTTGAAAGATCAACTTGGAAATGAAAAAGTTAATATTCAGAGACGATCTCCACCACCACCTAAAAAAGTAAGTATGAATTTAAAATGATTAAATTTACAAAATAATATATAAATAAAATAATAAAGAATAGCTTTATAAATAAAAGATTCCTTCATATGGATTTTTTTCAATTGAGATACTAATTTTTCTAGCTTAATACATATTATATCAAAATTTTAATAGTTATATATTTATTAATCACTTTCATGTTTATAGTTGTTTGATATGAAAATTATTCCTATTCTAGACAATAATAATGGTAGTGTATCTGGTTTTGTTACAGTGGTTCTATTTTACTTTTTAAATTATTATATTTTATAAGTTTTTCCAAAATATCCATTTCACGCATAGCTAATTAATGCAATTAATTTTAAGTTATTCTTTGTTTTATAAACAAACTGTCCGTAAGTTATTTAATACAGATATGGATGGGTGGGTGAGTGAGTATGCAGGTAATTGTTAAAATGTATTATAAGGGATGAGGTATTTACAAAATCATTATGTAATGCTAGAAGAATTTAATACAGACTTTATTATGTATATATCATTGGCATAATTGTCCTGTATGACTGCTAGTAATAAAAATAATGTCATATGAAGAAGTCTATTAAGTGAGAGTCCCATAGTGTTTGTGAGATATGACAGCCTGTATTTTTCAACATTTCTTATGTTTAAAATAGCATTTTTTAAGTCTGAAAAATTTCTTTCTTTCTAACTTTTCAACCTGGAAAGCTGGAAGTTTTGGAGAATCTGCATTGTGTCACTTTGTATAGTGCACAAGTATTTTTTGAGGAAAAAAAAATTTGTTGGCATGTGTGAAACTCCACACAACTTTTCATGTATAGTAAAAGTTACAGGAAAATTACATAGGCATAACTCTTGTGAATGTTACTTGAAAAGAGTGCAATTTGGCACAATAGTAATTTAAAATAAATATATCCTAACAAAAATACTGTTACTTATGTTCTCTGCTCTTTTTTCTTCTCTATACCACAAAAACTAATATCAATTCCAATTAATTTCAAATTGACCACTGCATTTGCTTCTGACAATATATGACTTGTTGTGCATTGCATTGTCATACATAACTGTGCAACAAAGATAGAAAAATTGATTTTGATAATGCAAACTTGCAAATTGTAAAATTTCTTTTCATTTCATAACAGTGTGGTACAAATGCATTTTGATAAAATTATCAAAAAGTTATAAAGCAATTTATACAGCAAACATTGGTAGATTGCCAAATTTTTGATGGTTCACATATTATTTTTTCAATTGCTTTATTTCTCGTATAGAAAGCATTCTTGGTTTGAAAACTCAGCAAAAATTTTGATACTTTCTGTAGTATTTTGAGCAATATTAATTTTTGAATTAAGATCATTTTTGAAAACTATATGACTATATTGCATTAAAAAAATAATAATTAGATTAAAGTTATGAGATCTGACAAAATTAGTTGTTAAATGTTAGACAACATTCTTCCAAGTACAATAAAATAATAACTTTGTCATTAGACCCACTTACAAATGGGAAGGGAACTTTTGGTTACAGGGTAAAAAAACAATTAGCAGTAGAGTCATGGCTCTACTCATAACTTCCCTCTAGAGTAAAGGTTTTGCTAGCTTTATCTTGAAAGACAATCTATTCCTCTCCAAATACAACAAGTCTAATGTCAGTTGTAACACGTGATATTTACAGTGAAGTTGAAATTTGATATGTTTATTTTATTGCTTTAGGCCTTAAGTGCATTTCTTTAACCACTAAATAAGGACATAATTTCAAATAGATACTTTATCACTTATTTTGTTTTAATCTTTATGGTTGTTACTTTTTGATGAGACTATATCTTATCTCTAAAATCATGCTGCTTTCAACAGCTGGACACTTTAGAGTTATGAAGGAGTATGTGTCAGGAGTTGCAATTTGGCACAGAGTATTTGGTGTCCAAATCATGCTCACATAAAAAAAAAAACAGACTTGTAGGTAGTCGGGGGACTGAGAACTGGGTCAAATTAAAATACAAAATGGTGAGACTGTTTCTACAAACATGTGTGAGTGCGAGATTTGCACATGCGTTGCTCGCACTCTCTGAGACATAGTCTCGTCCCAACAATGGCTTTGCTGTTTTACTTGTTATAATACTTAAATAAAGAAATTTATATACACGTTAAGATTTAACAAACTCTGTTAAGAGTGTATTTAATTTATTTTTTTAACATTAATTTTAGATATATAATAAACTTCCTAAAGCCTAATACGTTGATACTCAACCAAACAAACACCTTAATAAATTGGGCTATAAATTTTTTATTATTGATCATTAAATATTAAGTAATTTGGTACTAGATGTAGACATTAGGCTTCGTCTCTTATCTAAAGTAGTAATTATGATTTTTAAGAATGTAGCAAATAATTTAGAACCATCTGGAAGAAAAGAACTAGCCTAGAACGGTACTTGAACCCACAACCTCCGCTTATTTAGAACTGTCTTCCAGACAGTTTTAAATTATTTAATAAATTATTAAAAATTATAATTACTAATTTAGATGAGAGATGACACCTAACGTCTACCTCTAGTACCAAATTACTTAATGTCTACTCATTAATAATAGCAAATTTATAGACAATTTATTAAGGCATTTGTTTGGTCAAGTAAATTTTAGATGCTAATATAGAGTATAGATAGAAATAGGAAAAATATATGAAATATAAATAGGGGAAAAGTATATATATTTTTTCCTCTAAAAAATTCTGTAAAAATTTTTGCATTAATTGCAATAAATTAAAATTTGTATAAGAACAAAGTAAACAATTTGACAAAAAGAATTACCTATTTGATGTCTGCATTTATTTGATGAAGAAACTAATATATATCCTTATTCTAGAAAAATAATTGTTCTATATATTAAAAATAAGAAAATAAAAATAATTTTTATGAAACTCAATTAGTATTATTTCTTTTTCAATGTCATTTTATTTTAATATATTTGAATAACCTTATATGGTTGATAATTCTGACAATCAAAGAATTGTGACTGAAGCTTAAAGTTAACTTAGTTAATATAGTGAATCATAAAAATTAAATTATACCAAGTAAACTGTGATAATAATTACTTAAAAGATAAATTGTCTATGAAATATCTTGTCAGAAACAAATTTATATGAAACTTCTTCAGACCAGTTTTAATAAATTGCAATAAATAAATAAATTAATTAATTGCTTAATACATACTAATTACTGTGATTTTTAGCAACTGCATATATGCTGGTGTCTAAATTAAAGCTACAAACACAAAATCTGTGTAAAATCAATACCATGAAACATAAGTAGCTGAAACATCATATGTAAATCAGCAAAGTGACATTCTATCATGCAAGAATCATGCAAATGAGGGCAAAATATAATGCACTATATATATATACAGCAAAGTCATTTCTGACAGTTGTTTACTAGGATTGCTAACAATGAAGAAGTGTTCCTGATTAGCTTATCAAGCATGCCTCAGAGAAAGCATTTGAATGATTCATTTCGATGGAGATTCATTTTTGCATTTGTGCCAAGTACATTTCATTTGTGTGTGCTGTTTTAATTTTGGACACAAATATATATTAATATATATTTAATAAAACAAAAATTAATCTACTGTTTTTTCCTATTCTTAATATATCATTTTCAAAATCTAATTATTTATTTAATTCTGTTTAAAACATTTTTGCATATTTTTTTGCCATTTTGTTGTAAAAAGTACTGATCTCAATAATCTCTTCTTATTCTCAACTTTAAATTAAAGTTTTAATTTTTAATGTTACCTAATAAGGCATAAATTTATAAACTTTTAAATAAATAAACTGTCAAATCATAAGAGATGGATGAAAGTTAATTGCTGGGTGAATTGAATATCTAAACTTTGAGAAATGATTGCTTTCTGAAATTGTTTCAAAATTGTTGACAGCTTAGCTTCTAGATTGGATTGGCTCAATTGACAAAATACAGAATGGTTCTGTAGATATTATTATGTTCAAATCAGTCAGTCTGTTGAAAGTTAGTTTTTAGTATTTTTGGTAATTTGATAATTTAAAACATGTTAATAAGCTTTTGCAATATCTTGAATAATTTAAATTTTTACAACTGTTTCTGAATTCAAAATTTTAATTGTATTAATAATGTTAGATACTTATTAATTGATTTATTTTATTTTAGATATATGAATATTTGAATAATCATGTAGTAGGTCAGAATCATGCAAAGAAAGTATTATCTGTAGCAGTTTATAATCATTATAAAAGAATATTTAATAATATTCCAAGCATAAACTCTACAAATCGTCAAGAAAGTTCTGTTGGAGAAAATCAACATACAGGATTTGCTTTAAAAGGTAAATTTTTTTTTATTAACTTTAATAGTTAACAAATAAAAATTTTAATTTTATTAATTTTAATTAAAGTTTAATTAAATTAAAGTAAAATAATTAATTTATCTTGGGTGATTTAAAATTGTTTAAGAAATGATTTGGAAATAGATATTTTCTAACATCATATTTAAATTTTTTAAGTTAGAACTTATAATTTGAATTTTTTTTGTATAATTTCAACAGTTTAATTGCTAATGATTAAACACGTACACTGAACCAATATAATGTGTGGTACGATCGACGAAACAAAAAACAAACGTTTTCGAACCTCTTCTAGGTTCTTCCTCAGGTTCCTTTAGATTTTAGCTCGTAAATTCGATATTTCAAATAACTTCGTTCTTCGATCGCAAGAACGAAGTTATTTGAAATATCGAATTTACGAGCTAAAATCTAAAGGAACCTGAGGAAGAACCTAGAAGAGGTTCGAAAACGTTTGTTTTTTGTTTCGTCGATCGTACCACACATTATATTGGTTCAGTGTACGTGTTTAATCATTAGCAATTAAACTGTTGAAATTATACAAAAAAAATTCAAATTATAAGTTCTAACTTAAAAAATTTAAATATGATGTTAGAAAATATCTATTTCCAAATCATTTCTTAAACAATTTTAAATCACCCAAGATAAATTAATTATTTTACTTTAATTTAATTAAACTTTAATTAAAATTAATAAAATTAAAATTTTTATTTGTTAACTATTAAAATTAATAAAAAAAAATTTACCTTTTAAAGCAAATCCTGTATGTTGATTTTCTCCAACAGAACTTTCTTGACGATTTGTAGAGTTTATGCTTGGAATATTATTAAATATTCTTTTATAATGATTATAAACTGCTACAGATAATACTTTCTTTGCATGATTCTGACCTACTACATGATTATTCAAATATTCATATATCTAAAATAAAATAAATCAATTAATAAGTATCTAACATTATTAATACAATTAAAATTTTGAATTCAGAAACAGTTGTAAAAATTTAAATTATTCAAGATATTGCAAAAGCTTATTAACATGTTTTAAATTATCAAATTACCAAAAATACTAAAAACTAACTTTCAACAGACTTGACTGATTTGAACATAATAATATCTACAGAACCATTCTGTATTTTGTCAATTGAGCCAATCCAATCTAGAAGCTAAGCTGTCAACAATTTTGAAACAATTTCAGAAAGCAATCATTTCTCAAAGTTTAGATATTCAATTCACCCAGCAATTAACTTTCATCCATCTCTTATGATTTGACAGTTTATTTATTTAAAAGTTTATAAATTTATGCCTTATTAGGTAACATTAAAAATTAAAACTTTAATTTAAAGTTGAGAATAAGAAGAGATTATTGAGATCAGTACTTTTTACAACAAAATGGCAAAAAAATATGCAAAAATGTTTTAAACAGAATTAAATAAATAATTAGATTTTGAAAATGATATATTAAGAATAGGAAAAAACAGTAGATTAATTTTTGTTTTATTAAATATATATTAATATATATTTGTGTCCAAAATTAAAACAGCACACACAAATGAAATGTACTTGGCACAAATGCAAAAATGAATCTCCATCGAAATGAATCATTCAAATGCTTTCTCTGAGGCATGCTTGATAAGCTAATCAGGAACACTTCTTCATTGTTAGCAATCCTAGTAAACAACTGTCAGAAATGACTTTGCTGTATATATATATATAGTGCATTATATTTTGCCCTCATTTGCATGATTCTTGCATGATAGAATGTCACTTTGCTGATTTACATATGATGTTTCAGCTACTTATGTTTCATGGTATTGATTTTACACAGATTTTGTGTTTGTAGCTTTAATTTAGACACCAGCATATATGCAGTTGCTAAAAATCACAGTAATTAGTATGTATTAAGCAATTAATTAATTTATTTATTTATTGCAATTTATTAAAACTGGTCTGAAGAAGTTTCATATAAATTTGTTTCTGACAAGATATTTCATAGACAATTTATCTTTTAAGTAATTATTATCACAGTTTACTTGGTATAATTTAATTTTTATGATTCACTATATTAACTAAGTTAACTTTAAGCTTCAGTCACAATTCTTTGATTGTCAGAATTATCAACCATATAAGGTTATTCAAATATATTAAAATAAAATGACATTGAAAAAGAAATNTTCGAAAACGTTTGTTTTTTGTTTCGTCGATCGTACCACACATTATATTGGTTCAGTGTACGTGTTTGATATATAAGTGTGGTGAGTTGTGAGTTTTTTTTTTTTTATTTGCTAATGATTACTTGAATTCAAAAAATTGATCAAGTTATTCAAAACAATTGTTGTTGTATTCATATTATGAATTTATAGATTTTTCATTCTCTAAGTTTTTTTAGTTCAAAAGAGTTTTTAGAATATCTCTTATTATACAGTGGTGCCTCGTATAACGTACGCCTCAAATAACGGATGCTGCGAACAATGGACTTTCCGTTCGGCAGTTACATGAGCCGAACAACGGACTTTCTGCGAACAAGTGCAAATGATGTTTCCACTCTTTTGCCGTTGCCAATGACAATATGCTATTTTTACAATATATTAGTATTATTAGAATATATTATTAGTATATCTGAAGTACAGAGCTCCCGTTGGGATTCGGATTGCTCCCTTGTTTATTACGTACATCACCTCAGTGCAGGGTATTTACATTTATTCAAGTGTTGTGCAAATCATGGCTTCTAAAAAACAGAAAGGTGATTTCAATTGAAACAAAGCAAGAAATCATCAGAAAAAGTGAAAGTTCAGAAAAACTTATTTGTCAAATGGGGAGAGGTTCAGGAGTTTACCAACACTCATTATCCAAACAGAGCTGAGACTAATAGGATCAATGATCTCTACAATAACACCCTTGCCCGTTATTTCCGACAGGTGTTGAAGAAGAGAGAGAAACAGACCACCTGGGACATGTTTTTCAAGTAGCAAGCTGCCAAAAAACAGAGGATGGAACAAGTGGAGATGACCCTGCAAGCTCCGATAGCCTCTCCTGAATCTGACTCCGATTAAAAAACAATAAAAAGATACCTGCTGCAATGTGTAAAAAGTCTGTATCTGCATGAATGTGTGAAGAAAGTGTTCCTCCCCCTCCCCCTCACAACATCTGACTACCCGGCATAATTAGTGACTGCTCCATTTTCAATTTTTTTTTTTTTATGGTACAGTACGGATATGTTATGATGTGGAACGAATTATATGTTTTAACATGTATTTCTATGGGAAAATGCGTTTCGTATAACGGACTTTTCATTTAACAGACGTGCACATGGAACGGATTAAGTACGTTATATGAGGCACCACTGTAATTCTATTTATACATTTGGAAGTTTGGATACTAGAAAGTATATGTATATTAAATTATGAGATGACTATAATAATTCTGATATATGTAAATGTTAAATATTTGGAGAAATTATATACAGTGTAAAAAGATGATAAAATAATTACACATCTAAGAATATATAAATTAATCAGTTTTCTTTCAATATAATAGGGAAATTATAGGAATGGAGAATGACTTTAAATATTATGTCATGATATATGTTGTTTTTATGTATTTAAATAGTATGATGATTGAATATTAATATAGAAGTTGTATAGGTAAGAAGTTACCATTATAGCATTAAATACTTACTTATTTTATATATAATGTATTTACTCATCTCATAGTTTTCTTTTTCATTTTTTTAAGCAATCTTTTTTAAAGTTTATTTAGCTGTTTTTATTAAAATATAATTTCTTATCTTAAAAAAGTAAAATTTTAAACATCATTTACTGTTAAATGAATGATAAACATATTTGCTAAGTAAAAATATTAAAATTTTTGTAGATTTGTTTCATAATCCAGGGATTTCTCATAGTAATGCTCTTGGTGTAACACCTCAACAACAACAAATACAAGATTCAGATGCTCGTCAAAATCGAGGATCAGATGTACTTGATGTCATGACCCATGAACTTCGTTTAGAAAAAAGTAATATTTTATTACTTGGACCAACTGGTTCTGGTGAGTTTTAAAATTGAGAGTAAATTTTCTCATCTTGCTTTAACATCTTCAGGCAGTTTAATGTTTAGAACACATAAAATTTCAAAACTTTTCTAAATTTTAAAATAAGGGTTTTAGACTTTGTTTGCCTTTGTATCTTGTATAGCAATATTTAGCCTTCTTTTCTATATAACACTAGCAGACCCCGCCACGCGTTGTTGTGGCTCAAAATATATCTATTATAAATGTATAACACTTCCCCCATGGGGGGAATTTTTTGAAAAATTTCTTCTTATTGTACATTCTCTTGACATACCCTATTAAAACGCAATCAAAAATGCATCTAAAATAATATAAATAGAAGCAGAGTTCTTTACAGTAAGTAAGCCTTAATCCTAACCATCTCTCTTCAGTGGGGGGAATTTCGACACGTATATTATATAAAAACACGTGCATATTCGAATGCAGCGTTGTGTCAAAATTTCAAAGGAATCAGTAGGAACAAACGAACATTACATTTTTATTTATATAGATAGATAGAAGATGATCTGCTTTAGTTCATTTTCACAGAAAAGCATAATGCCTCACAGAAAAGCAAACTTAGGGTGTCGTACTTGTAGCCCATCTGTTGGACAGAAAAGCCTTAACCTAGATTATATATTTTAATTTATATGAATGTTTAATGGAATAATATACAGCCTATGTCCACCCTGAGGTTCCATTCTAAATATTGGTGAAAGAATTTTTGAAATCGGATGAGTAGTTTCGGAGATTACCTGCTGCAAACAAACTTACATACATACTTACAAACATTACCTCTTTATAATATTAGTATAGATAATCTACAAAGTAAAATATATTGCTGGAATGGATTCTATGGGAATTTATTTCAATTTGTAGAATTATTGAATGTTATAAATGATTCATTAGTATTTGAAAACTATTTTAAAAATTTAACTTTAATTTGAATATTTTGTTGTGTATAATTTATGAAAAATTTCTAGTTTTTTGTTTTTATTTTGTCTGCTAAAACTTTGTAACTGAAAGAATTAGTAATGATTTACAAAAAAAAAATCATTTTATTTAAAAACTTTTTTTAATTTTGAGTGATTTGAAAGCATTTTTTTTAATGATTTGAATTTTTAAATGATAGGTAAAACATTATTAGCACAAACTATTGCTCAATGTTTGGATGTACCATTTGCTATTTGTGATTGTACTACACTTACACAGGCTGGTTATGTTGGAGAAGATATCGAATCAGTCATAGCTAAACTTCTACAAGATGCCAATTATAATGTTGAAAAAGCTCAACAAGGTAAGAAATTATTATGTTAATCATAAAAAATACAAAACTATTAAATTTATTCTATAAATTGATGATTGTTGAATTTTAAAATCTTTAAAACAAAATTGTAGCATTGTTGAAACAGCTATTACAGGTCATTTGGTAAAAAATGTTATTTATGTAAAGCAAGTGTTGTTTACACATAGGCTGTTATTGTTAGACCATATGTGAAAAGTCAGAATTTATGATATGATCTAGTCTGTTTATAGATGTTACATGCTATCACCATTTGGTGAAACATTACAATGTTTATGTAGTAACAAATATAAAAATGAAATTTAAAAACATTATTTATTAATTCTTGCACCTTATAACTTTTATGGTGTTCAGAAATCAAATTTTATGCACTTCTGAGACAAAAACATTTAGTTAGACTTGTAGTAATAGTTCTTAAAGCATTGACTATAACCAAGATTGTACTTTGAAAACAGGAATAATTTATTTAGAGGAACATCTGTATTCCATATTTGATATTAAGTAGACATATACTGAATTTGAGTTTGTAATAACATTTTGAATAACTCTTCTGTAAATTCACCCACAACTGTTAATATAAAGTAAGCATCTCCTCTTCCTCAGTTAAATTCTGGTACTGGACCCACATTGTTGCACCTATGATTGATTTTCAATGCAATATATCTGATGACATTTTCATATGTTTGATTTGCTTACTCATACTTTTATAAGCATTATCCCTTGATATATTTATAATTTATTTTTGTGTACTATTTTATCATCTTCAGTCTCATACAGAGTATACAAATGTGTATCTGACAAGCCTGAAACCAATTTTAAATAAATTTTGTCTCAGAAATCAAATATTATTTATGTATTTTTTACCTTAAAAGTCTAAGATTTAAGAATAAATAATTAAAAATATGAAATTTAAAAATATCACATTTTTATATTTGTTTCACTAAATGTAATGTAATGTTTAAATTATAATGTTTCACTAAATGACATGATAAGAATCTACAGACAGATTAAGTTGAATACAAAGTGTAAACAAAAGTATTGCACAAGGCTGCATCTTGTTTCTGTGTAAAGTCTGTTTCATAAATATAAGTCCACTTAGTAAAATAAAGTTTCTAAAAAAACTGTTCAAAAAAATGAAGAAATAATTAATTGTTAACATACAGGTAACCCCTATATAACATGAGAGTTACGTTCCAAAAAATTGCCGTGTTACACGAAACAAAGAACTAGTGCGAAAAGGGGGGTTAGGTTCCAAAAATTAAAAAAACATGCTGTTAAATCTTTATTTAAATCAGATTTATTATTCATTTTTTCCATAGGTAAAATACTTATTTATTATTTAAGTAAATATTTTACCAGAGGATTATTCATCCTATATGATGATATCAGCATGAGCATCATCAACTGGTAACAGTTTTTTGGGTGCGTTCGTTATTAGTGGTCGCTCTGCAACGGGAGTGCGCTGCTGTTTGTAGGCATTTAGGAACGATGGTGAAAGAAAGATGGCAGCACTTGCACTATCAATAGTATTGTGATGGAGGAATCTATAATTCTAAAATGAGCTTTCAGAGGCAAAAGAAGGGTCCCAATTGTAAAATTTAACCATTAATTGGATTATTTGTTGAAAGAGCATTCAAAGTAGCCACGAAAACAATTAGAATGCTCGCGCTGAGTTATGTGGAGGTATAAAAGAACACTCCCTTTATTATATTTCATGTTGTATGAGAGTTTTACCCAATTCCCAAACCGTGTTAGAGTGAATCTGTGCTATAGAAGTGCGGTGTTATACAGGGGTTACCTGTACTTATTGCATAACAATTACATTCCAACAAACATTTATTATTTAAAATTTAATAATTTATACAGTAAACTTTTCGATTTTTTATTGTCTCATAAATATAGGTCCAGTATGAAAATTTCTTTAAGGTACCAAATTTGATGTAATTAATATACATATTTTTGCCATTAGAGAGACTACTTAGCCAATTGCAAATGGCAGCATAATTTGAAACTGATTAATTAACATTAATTGATATTTTGTGTGACTTTTGAATCATGGGACATGCCAAGGGACTTACATAGAGAAAGGACTAATTATGGCCTGGAAGGAATCTGGACTATCAAACAGAAAATTGCAATAAAATTTGAAAAGAAAATATCTCATAATTTAAGTAATAGTTTTATACATCTAGGAGACACTTACAGTATAAAAATGCTCCAAATGATGGCCCTCAAAAGTAACCCCACAAATAAAATGGGCTTTTTTTAAAAAAATTGGCAATAATTCATCCATCAATATGTCAAATTTCCATAAGACCTGACAATCCACTAGCTAAATTAACAGTTTCCAGAATTATAAAAAATTCAGGCCAATTTTTTACAGTCAAAGAAAACCCATCCCTGCCTAACAAAAGCAGAAGAGGTTAAAATCAGCCAAAGAAATGATGTATTGGAAAGAGAAATGAAAGAGAATTAGATGGAGTGATGATAAAAGTTTAATTCGGATGGCCCAAGTGGATGACAGTATTATTGGCACAGTTTAAGACAGAAAGAACAGGTATGTTCAAAACGTCAACAATGTGGCAGTTTTGTGATGATATGGGCATCATTCAAATGGAATGGAAAGTCTAATGTGGCGTTCATACAGGGCAGAATGAATGTAAGTGACTATCAAGAAATGCTGAAATTCTATCTTAGTTACAAAGTCATAGAGTGTGTCTCAAAGTTAGTACAAAATATTTTTTGTCTGGTTAAAGTATTTAAAAGAGAAGTGGCCGAATACATTCAAAAAATGGTTGTGGGATATACATGAGGCTTGACCTTGAGATAGCTCCTTTGAGTAGTAGGTAAAAGCTAGGTAAACATTTTTATACTAATTTTGAGATGCTCTACAACTTTGTAATTTAAATTGTGTCACAAGCTTTCTTAGGAGCTGAGGAGTTTCTTAGGATTTGGTCTACGAGAAGAGGATAGGTTGCATGGCAACTACATCATTGAATAACCACTATTGATTATCTATACTTGTGCAGTTGTATTTAGATAATACATAGCAGATTCAAGATGTAGCCTGGTGTGAAATTGTTGTCTACATCCTGTATTTGGTTCAACATTAAGTCTATATATAGACAGTTCATGTATTTTATAGTTGATATTTTTTGACAATGTTTCTGTAATACAGCTATAGAATTTTATATTTTCATAATATTATTTTTTCTTTATCAATTTCTTACGTGTTTAGATAATCTGAATTGAATTTGAAGAAAATTATTTTTTCACAATTTATCATTTTTTTGACTTGGTCTTTTTTTAACTCTCATGTTAAAATCATTAATTTGGAAACTGTTGATTTAATGTAACTAGAAATAAAACTTTCTGGTTTGGTTTTGTTTGTTAAAGTTTTTTGGCACAAAAGCTGTACAGGCCATGCTGCGCCATGCCAAATGGTGAAAAAAACTTTCTAAAAAATAACAAATTTGAACAAACGTCATGTATTAATATACCGTATTTTCCGGTGTATAAGACAACTTTTAACCCAGGAAAATCTCAAAAGTCGGGGATTGTCTTATAGGGCGGGTGCTGCAGTTGGCCGGAAAGCCTGGGGTATGGATAGAGATAGAGTGGCGCTGTGCCCAGAAAACAAACATCTTTCACCCGTCTGGCCCACCCTTGTATGTATCCTATTACTGTACCTCTTTCTCTGCCTCTCAGATTTTGCTCCTGAGGACTGCAGTGAAGTGGTGCAGGTGTGCATGTGTGAGATCTGAGAGGCAGAGGAGGAGGTACGGTAATAAGATACAAGGGCGGGCTGGGGTAGTCTTATACGGTGAGTATATCCCGAACTCTATATTTTAACTGTAAAAGTCAGGGGGTCATCTTATACATTGGAAAGTGTGGTAGCTTCTTTTATTTGCCATTTATTTTCTATGATATATAAGCACAGAATATAAATAGATTTAATAATATAATTATCAAATCTACTTATATTCTGCTGTTATAACATTTTTTTGTTGCTATTGCAAATAATCAGTTTTCCATTTTATTTAATATTAATATATGAACTAGGAACACTTCATCTGAAAAATACAACTTAAAATAAAATATTTTTTGATAAATATTTTTGAGTATCTGCTATATTTTTTTTCAATAATACCTTATTACTTTGAATTTAAGCTGCATTTTTTATTCCAATTTTTAAGATGCAAAATTAGGGTGCAGCTTAAATTCAGAGCAAATATTTTAACTTCTTATTTTTGCCAATCTCTCACTCCCCAACAATTGGGTCTTAGCTTTACACTCTATGCTTATTCATAGTATTATGATTGTTGATAGTTTATTCAGTGGTTCCCCATTTGCACTTTTCTGATCTAATCCAGTTACTATTTGATAGCAGCTGTATAGAATTGAATTTTAAATTTTTTTATTACCTATACTCACTAATAATGGAAAAATGGTGTACATATGATGCTGAATTCAGAAGAAAAGTTATATTGTGTGCCGAAGAAATTGGAAATCATGCAGCCAGTAAAAGATTTATGATTGGTGAAAAGAATGTGTCTTTGGAGAGCCACGAAGGAAAAATTATTTCAGTGTAAAAAATACAGAAAATCATTCTCAGGGCGTAAAAAAAGGAAAATACCCTGCAATTGACACAGCTACAATTGAATCAAATCATATATATAAAATTATTATTATTTTTTCCAATTTTAAACTCCTACTATGGCTTAAATTTGAAGGTGGCTTATATTTGAAGTAATACAGTGTATATTTGTTCATTTTCAACTTATTTATTTTCTATTTATTTCTTACCCTAAAATTAATAAAATTTGCATCATTTTATTGATATATAAGTAAAACTTAGAATATGAGTTTTGCATAAATTTTTAATAGATAAAGAAAATATTTCATAATTGTCTTAAAAGTTAATTTATTAAAATTTCATAAACCTCTATTTATGTATGTTCTTTATTCTTAATTACTATGAAGCAAAAACAATAATGTTTTTTCCTACAAGTTTTGGATTGTTGGAATGCTTTTTAATTTCATTTATCTAGAAGAACAGATTCTGCTTTGGAAGAAATTAAATTTTATTTATTAATTAAGTCTATTTTATAAAATTATTACTTTTATAATATTTTATTTAGTCTTTATTTTAAAAGAATGATTTTCTTAATTACACAATAAAATTTTATATTATAATCATTTATATAATTTATGCATATAAATTTAAAATATTTATTCATTTTGAAGGAATTGTATTTCTTGATGAAGTTGATAAAATAGGAGCAGTGCCAGGCATTCATCAGTTACGAGATGTTGGTGGAGAAGGTGTGCAACAAGTATGCTTTAATTTTATACAGTTTTAAAATTTAAATTATTGATTTATGTACAGTTAAATAAGGGCAGTGCATAGCACTTTAGCACATCACCTTAATATGTTTGGATCTTAAATTTTCACTAAAGTGAGCTAAATGAAGATCAAACTACTCAGATACCAGCAGTCCTTTTTTCCCCCCAAGATATACACAACTCCAGTGATAAAAATTTACTTGGGTGTACTGTAGCTCTTAATTTGCTTATAATACACATTTCAAAAAATTGATAACATTTTACCAGAGAGTACCACAGGTGAAATTTTGCCCAAACCATTGGTTCAACATTAATGGAATTGATTTCAAAAGATGTGCAAGGAGTTAAATTGATCTAAAAAGTTGATCTAAACACAATATTATGACATATGATCTTCAAACCACATATCAGATAGTATCTTTAATGACTGTTGTTGAGCTACACCTTGAAATGTCACATGATGCTTTTTTTTTTTTTTTTGTGTTTATAGCTTGTCAGTAATGACCAATTGATAGCCAGATGTAGGTCATTCTAACTGTTTTAAGAAGCTCTTCACAATGATTATTTTCTGAAGTTCTTCAGTTTAGTGATATCAAAGTTATAAGCAATTGTTTGGTCAAAAATTCTGAAACCTTTTTAAACATTTACCTTACACTCTAGGGTAGAGAAAAAATTATTGGTAGCAATAGTGATAAAATCTTATAGGAATGATGATGATAGGGATCTTTCCTAGATGGTAGTTTTTTTTTTTATACATTGTCTCGGTTCCTTAGTTTCAGGTAAATGTAATGTCATAAGGCAAATGCTAGCCATCTCCTATTAATAAACCCTGGAAATTGCAGACTGTAGTCTAAAGTAATAAATATTCACACATTATATGATCTCAAATGAAACTTATATTATATTTTTGAATCAAACCTTTCTAGATAAATATATTATTAACAGAATACATATCATACTTTCATCTAGAAATATTTATATTAAATTAAATGTTATATTTATTTTAATATTTATATTTAATAATAATTGATTGTTAAAGAAACTTCGATACTTTACATATCAGATAATTCTTTGGATAAAATCAATTCAATTGATCACTGATTTGATTGTATATACTGAAATCAAAATGACCTGATTTTTACTGGTTATTATAAAGCTAAACTAATTTTAACATCCTCAAAATTTTTTATTTTCATAAGTTTTATAGTCAGTCTGCTTGATAGATGGTTATTATTTCTAAGACACGCTTTTAAATAAATTATATCCATTGGATAAAAAAAGAACACTATAATAATTATATTTATATTTACTATTCCAAGTTGCTATTTTGGATATATTATCTGATATAATGGCTCAGATTCCTGAAATCTTAAACAAAATTTTATTATATCAAATGCTAATGCAATTTTTCAATTGATATATAAATTAAATTTTTAACTTCTAACTCAAAATGCAGCATTAAATATATTAATACTTACTATAATGTATTTGTTATAGAGTTCATGAATTTAATGATCTTCATATATACTGTATGTAAGTAAAATAATGTCCCAAAACTTTTGCTTTAAAACAAATGATAATTTTGTAAAAGTCACTTATATAAGTGAAAGACTTATCAGTTTAGGGTATAAACATATCCATTTTTAAGATTTAGTTTTTGTTTTTAGAATTTTGTGCCTAATAAATTGTATTGATCTATAATCTAGCAGAATAAAATATAAATTTTAAGTTGCCAAAATAGATTAATATTATTCCATTAAAAAAATGTGAGTCTAAATGTAAGATTTGAACTGAAATAACAGTAATTATTATTTTTTATGTAAAAGCATTTTTTATTTTTAGGGAATGCTTAAAATGCTTGAAGGTACCTTAGTCAATGTACCAGAACGTAATTCTAGAAAATTAAGAGGCGAAACAGTCATTGTAGATACGACTAATATACTTTTTGTAGCATCAGGTGCCTTTAATGGCTTAGACAGAATAGTCAGTAGAAGAAAAAATGAAAAGGTAAATATTTTTACATAGAATTTAATGAATTTAATTGTGCAATTTTTATAATGTAGCATCTCTGATAAGTTGTTTTTTAAATATTTTGTTAACATTCTGAAAATGTAGATGAAGTTGATATACACTAATTTAAAATTAAAATACATATATTAAATTTTATAAATGAAAATAATCTATAAATTTAACTGCATATTCTATCCAATCACTTGTTATTTAATAAATAAATAATAAAAAGTATGTACTAATAAATAAATCAGAGAGAGATTCTTTAATTCATATTATTTTAGAATTATGCTGAGCTCATAAGATTTTAATTAAATAGTGTTGAGGTCAGTATTTTAAACTGTTTGTTAATTGCAGAACACTTTTTAAAAGAAAAAAAATTATTAGTGCTCTCTCTCAAAAGAAACCTTGGAACAGAATAGCTCCACAAGCATTTCTCTTTCCAAGCAATTTTGAAATCATATTTACTAACCTGGATTCTATGCCCATGTCCATTCCTTCTTCAGTAATATAGTAATTCAAAAAAGATAGTAATATTAATATAGCACTCCTACAAATAAGATGATATTGAAGAAGGAATGGACATGGGCATAGAATCTAGGTTAGTAAAGATGACGAAGTAAGTGGAAATACTTATCTAGCTTATGGAAATCCACTTTTCGTAATATATAATAAAGATAGAAATAAAATCCTGAATATGTTTCTCAATATTTACACTCAAATTTTTGACTGGTTTTTAATATATGTAGAAATGTTTTTAATTAATTATTGATTTTCTTCATAATGATTTATAATAGAAAGCAAATAGAGTTCAAATAACCTAATTATGTTTATATACATAAATTTTGTAGCAAGACATGTCAAAATGTCAAAATTATTGTTTAGAAATATGTTTTGGCAATAAATCATTTTATTTATTATTTTAAAAAAATTTCTTCCTTTAAATATTTTTGATTTTTGTCTATGATTAATATATATATTGCTATGGGCTAAATCAGATCCAAAAACTAGGTTATAAATAAATAAATAAAATTTTTTGGATCTGATTTCTGACTCCTTTTTCATCACTTGACCTGTAAGTTTGTGACAAGTCTGGAAAAATTAGACAAATTTAGGCCATATCAAGAAATTTATAATGTTTAGAGAGAATTATTGAATTAATCAAGTTTTTAAATGTTTTCTTATGGAAACAATATTATTTTGAAATAATTTAGAAAAAGCAGTATTTCATTTTTTCAAGTTTGTAACATTTGATGATATGTAACATTATATGATATGTTAAAAGAAATTTTAATTTATTAATTCTTTACATATCATTAGAAAATAAAAGACTTCAATAAAAAATTTTTTTTTAGTATCTTGGATTTGGAGCGCCTGTTTCAGAATCTCCAGGAAGGAGAGCAGCGTCAGCAGCAGAATTAGCAAATTTTACAACTCACAGTTCTCCTGAAGATGATAATTCTGAAAAGGATGCTCTCTTAAGAATTGTTGAAGCAAGAGATCTGATAGAATTTGGAATGATACCTGAATTTGTTGGACGTTTTCCAGTAGTTGTACCTCTCCACAGTTTGAATGAAGAAATGCTTATTGAAATCCTTACTAAACCTCGTAATGCTTTAATACCACAATATCAAATGCTAATTGGAATGGACAAGGTAATTATTATTGTAATTATATTAGAAATTATTTGCTGTAATTAAATGTATATTTTAATCTTCATAATTTAAGATAATTTTTTAAAAAATTTTGTACTACTTATATGTGAATTTAACAAAATTATAAAAATTTTTCAATGTGTGATTGTAACAAAAAATTATATTCAAAATGGCAAAATAAGCAGGTATTAAAGCTCTGAAATCATGATCTAAAAAAAACATAAAAATTTCAGAAAATATGCATTAACTGAGGTTAATTCAGATGTGTTTTAATTGTTGACTTTCATACATAACATGATAATACAGTTAATCATGAAGTCTAACAATACGTCTGCATAAATTTTCAAACTTGAAAGATCAACAGTTTTTTTCCAGTACACTTTGTATCTGCTTAATGATCCTTCCACATCACATGTCATCACAGGTGGTTTTCTTGAAGAGGCTGATTTCACTGCTTGAGAGCTCAGGTGTGTCCTCTTCAAATGTATCTACTTCTCCATTAAAAATGGCTTCAATTTTCTTCATTGTTTTAAACTCTTTGTTGAAAGAGCTATTTTATGTTTTCTAGAAGTGATCTGTGCTACTGGACCATTGGCTTGATGTAGCTCTGCTTGGTTAGCAACTACAATTTTTAGGGCATTGCACAGTTGAATCCTTGCAGTTTTAAGATTCACTTTTCTAAAAAAGTTGTTTATTTATTCTTCTCATATAGTTGGGTTATCTATCTTAAAGTATATAATTGATTGGTTTATTTTTATTCTAGTATAGCAATGCGATGTATGGGTGATCTGCTGAGGGGAATGCCTCTCAGGAAGTCTTTTATGGAAAGCTGTTTAGATGTTACTAATGTCTAAGCCACATGCCAGCCTGTTGGCGAGGTGTGAACTCACAACGAACTACCAGTGTTCAGTGATTTTATCCACTCTGCCATTAGTGGGCATATACAATTGAAGGTACACAAAATTTAAAAAAAAAAATTAGCATTTACCAAAGATAGAAGTGAAGATTCCATCCTTATGGTTCTTCTTTTTGAAAGCATATGCCAAAACTTCATTGTTTTAAACTGACCCTAGAAGTCAAGCTAACCCCTAGTATTGTGACATGGCAATGGTGGACAAAATTTTAAAAAAATCTGCAATTTCAAAATGTGATGGAAAAGACTACAAAATTCTCAAAAAATTACAAAAAAAGATGTTACATTATATTTTGGTTTAAAAAAGACCTATTTTGAAATTTTGGCCAAAATATGATTTTATAAGACTTATAAAATTATACTCAAAACACTCAGTCTAGCTAAATCAGTTCTACTGGGACATGCCATTACAAAATAAAGAAAAATATGCACATAATATGATTATATCATTCCTGCCTCTTGTGAATGATTTACATGTCTTTTAAATTTTATGGAAAGTAAGTAGACATTGTAATTTAATTTTTTCTCCCTCAATTTGTTTAAAATTCAGAAATTGAGTAATAATCATTCAGTCTGCAACAGTAATGGTTACTTTGTTTGGAAAATTTTAAATGTTGTACTTTGTTTTATTATGTTAAATGATAATTGTGATTACATTAAAACTACATTTGCATATTAATAAATGGTTAACACTTCCATAAGAAATATTAATACTTCCATAAGAAATATTAAAAAAAAAACAAGTGATTCCACTGTATTATTTTACAAATCTTAAAAAATGCAAAACTTCATGAGTATAGTAACTTAGTTTTCAAAATTATATAATTAAAGGCAAACAACTACAGACATTACTGATTTTGAATGTGTAGACATTGAAAATAAAGATTGGCTGCATAAAACAAATGAAAAAATTATTATTTTGGTGATTTGATAATACATTATGGAAATGCATAAATTTTTATATGGAATAATTTGCCCTATTTTGAATAAATGTTTGTCTCTAATGCATACTCCAGGAATACAAACTCATGCTTAAATCATATTATTTTTCTCTCCCATGCCAATTATTTTTATAGTTTCATTTCTTTTTATTTCATTTACTATTATAGTATTTTTGAAAAAATTTATTTTTCTAAATAAATAATAATTTAGATTTAATAATATGTTCTAAGTAAAAACAATATATTAGAAAATTTTCGATAAATTGCAAGTTTACCAAACTATTTAGGTATTTGTGATTTTCAGCTTTACATTTAATTTTAATTTATTAGGTTGAATTAAGTTTTTCTCCCGAGGCCTTAAAATCTGTTGCGAGGTTGGCAATGGAAAGAAAAACTGGAGCACGAGGTTTGCGAGCAATAATGGTAAACTTAAATATATTTTGTTTTTTCATTTGCATATAAATTCTATTGAAATAGTGTCTATATATGCACTTAACTTTAGTTATTAAGATTTCTATATAAATACTAGGAAATATTGATGGCAATGTCTTTATTCCATCCATCTTCAGTCAACTTTATGAAATGGGATAAAGCATCTTATTGAAAATTATAAAAGATACAGTAGAACCTCGTAAACTCGGCCTAATGTGGACCGAAGGGTGGCCGAGTTTGTGAAAATGCCGGGTTATCGGGAATGGGGTTAAAAAAAATAAGTACGAGTGTTTCCTCAGAAAATACTGTACTGTACTTGTATGTATTGTTTACTTGAGAATATAACAGAGAATAAACTGCCCAAATACCCTTAAACAAAGGAAAA